TTGGTTGAGAACTTTCAGAATCTAGGCCAAAAAATCTAATCATAGGAATCCCTTCATTTATATACTTATTACCATATCTCCTTGTTAAAGTTTAATATAATCTTCATTATTAGTCGTCTTACTATTGCCAAGAATTTTTTCTTTGAATAATGAAATCATAGTCTCTAGTCTCAATTCTATAACTTTTGTCCTTGGCTTCTCACTTCTCAATAGACATTAAAACCTCAATTGGCCCTTTTATTTCTTATAATGTCCTCCCTAACATTACCAAACTGTTCCTACTTGCATTAAACAAAGGTAATTAGAAATCCTCAAACCTCTAACTTACCATAAAACATGAATATTAAAAATATAGAAATCAACTACTTTTGTTAAAAAAAGGGGATAAAATTTTTTTACAAAACAGTTCAAATCACCAGAACACATGTAATTTATGCAATGAAAGCATATAAGAATGCATAAACACCATACAAGAAAAAATAAGGGTAAAATAGTCATTTTTGCTTAAAAGGGACCATATGCCATGGCATGTGTCACATGCACCATAGCATGTGGTACAACGCCATAATCCCATGTTATGTGTCATGTGCGCTGCGGCACACATGATAATTTCAACTGTCATGATAGTTCATCTAATACAAACTTTCAATGTATACTATTTCTACATAAAATATTTGATTGGGATGATTCAAGGGCTTATATAAAACTTATTTCATAATTTAACTAATGACACAAGTTTCACTTCAATCCAATATTTATTTTGAAAGTTAAACACCTAGATGCAAAATGACCATTTTATGTCATTTTCTATTACCCAAGTGTCCCAATTCGAATCCTTGTGTCGTTAACTACCATTAGGGACTAGACCACATCAAATGAAACATTTTTCATCTGATTAAATAGATATAATAATGGAAACACAAGTATACCAAATTTGACGACTAAAATGCCCTTTTTGACTTCATATTAGGGCATTTTTCATATATTCATATAAATTTACATATATAGCCAAATTCCTCACAATCATTCACGCAAAACACACAACCTTACACTTATATTAGTGTCTTAGCCCTCTCTATCACATTCCACACAATTTTGCAGCATTTCACACTATAAGGCCAAGATACACATGCCCCTAATCATACAAGCACAACAAAACACATATATATATGCATTACTATAGTAACTTATGAACATTATTTATTTACAACAAGTCAATTTCATTACACAAACTCAAAAGGGCTATTGTAATCTCACTAAACTTGGTCTAGCTCTTTTTCTCTACCGTTATTAGTCTCAAAACTTGTAAAATAGTAATCATTAGGCGAGATAAAGTCTCAGTAACTAAAATAATTCAATACTAACTATTAACAAGTAAAACCATAAATAAGTAAATAAAATATTAGTGTTATTATTCTCAATTCCATACTAGTGTGTGAGTGTGTGTGTGTCCATTTTTATAAATGATAATAATTGTACATATGATCATCCTATCTAATTGAATCTTCATATTTACCACAACTGAATCCATAGGCTCTACTAGACCAATTTTGTATAAACTGATTCAAGCACACCTTCAATGGTAGAATGACCCAACCAAAGGTGTTCTATTCTACTTTTGAACTATAAATTCCTCCTATCACACATATGATCAAGGTGTCATTACTCCAACACCGTATCTCACAAATGTTAAGGAGCGTAATCTCCAACACCACACCCATATGAGCATTAAGGAAAGGAATTCTCTAACACCGCAACCCTTAGGGCACTAAAGAGAATATATGACTGCCATATAGACTTTTACACTACTCCACCTCTGGTGAACTCCCACCCTTTATTATGATCATGACTTTTCATATAATATACAATTATATATCCACATATGCACAAAATAGTTCACATATTCTTTAGCTTTTAAAATAACTTCCTTTAGTAATTAATTTTATAATTTAAATTCCTTTTTCATTTAAAACCATGCAATTTTCAAATCATGTCAATAAACAATGTCATATATCATATTATAGAAATTTACTCATAAATAGAAAAACTAATTAATGGACATAATGAATTATCTAGTTACCTCAACCTTTTTATTTCTAGAAAGGATTGCCCATAGTCCACTTTATGCTTCTAGCTATCAATTACTCAGAATAACGCATGAGCCACACCAAACTACAAAGTTAGCATTACATGTGAATTACCAAATTGATCGTTGGTATTAATTATACATTTAACCTACATTAATTACCTAATCACTTTCACTTAACCATCCTGAGTCCTAACCACCCTCTACATGCCTTTTGTATCTTCTAATAGCCTCTATACCATCCACACTAGAATTTCACCCTATATAAATGCCCAATTTAGGCTAAATTGAACCAATAACTTCAAAGGTCAACCGTTAGCCTCCAAACCAGTCGTGAAATCTTAATTTAACTCATAATAGGTTTTTTATAACTATTGAGTCAAAAAAAAACTCCTTAAAGCTCCCCAATTAAATTTTTTTATATTCTAAACTAAGAGAAATTAGGGTAGAATAATAGCGTAGGGTGTATATAACTTAACAGGTAAGTAACAAGTCAGAAATATCTCTTAGTGCTTTAATATTTATTGGCCTAGTGGAGCCAGCTCTCTTCTCCCTATCTTTCATGTCTTTGCCCTTATTTCCTCTCCCTTCCACGAGTTGAATCACATCCTATTAATTAGATTTCTGTGCCATATATCACAACGCATCCTGTATATGCCGTCACATGTGACATAGTGAGAGAATTCTCACTGTTGCTCACATGCTGTGCTCCAGATTGCAACTCTTTCACCCAATCATAATCATATTGTTGCCCAACAACTCAAAATATTAATTTACCATCCAAACTACTATTAATTCAATTAATTTACTAATTTACTAATTTATCATTAACTAGCAATTAGTTTATAGGTTAAGAATTCAAGACGTTATATTTCTAGCACCATCTCTCCTAAAGGCATAATAGGGACAAGCGTCTCATCCTTAGATGATTGGAAAGAGTCATCAACATCCATGGCATCCACACCATTAGTCTCGTTATCTCTGAGCTTAACTTTCTTAGTTGAACGAATGGCATCTGGTTGCAAAGGAGGTTCATCCTTTGGGCAGCTATCGAAGGAGGTAGAGCGCTTGTCCATTCGAGAGTTTTTCTTATTAGCTTAATAGCTTTTGAACATCTATACAAACTCATCATATGTATGGCACTCAGATTGCATTAGACAAAACAAAACTCTTTAAACTATACCAAAAGATTTCATTTTTTTTTAAATTAGGACGCAAAGTGTATATTATATCTCACGCTTAATATCTCCCAAATACCATTGAGGTGGTGTTTAGAAAGAGAAAGGCCCTCCTAAAATAAAATAGGAGGAGGAAGTAAAGGAGGTTCGGATCAATGGAGCATGATTGATTTGGCTTATTTGTTTAACATTTATTATTTAAATTTATTAATTATTATTCTAATATGATTTATTAATTTCAGCATTCAAATAGTGTCATCATCGCCTTTGATAGCCGAAAGATTGACTAAGGTTGAAGAGCCATAGGATTACAAATTTGGATGACCAATTTTTTGGTACTCAAGAGTGACATGCTCAAATGCTAACTGATCATTGTTTCAGGGAAATCATTCTTTTCACGTTTATGAAAGAGCTGGCCCCTCTTAGAAAGCATTTTCTTACATTCTAAACATGAAAAAAAAAAGAAAATATTTTTTTTTGTGCATGCTGGTGTCCTCTTATGGAGACAATCAGGCATGATAGATATTAAATATAGACACATTTTCAATGGATTCAAACCTTGATCACTATGTTTGAGGGTCTTGTCCATTTCACTTATATATATTGAAGAGAAAATTATTAGAGTTTGATATAGAATTTGTTGTAAATGATTTTAATGACATGAAAAACGAAAGATTAAACTTTATTTATTCAAAAATAAAGGCTATCATTTGATATATTGTCATGTAATTTAAAATATTATTAGTTAAATACTTAAATGTTATGCTGTTTTTTTTAGTTAAATATTTGACCTTCTAGAACTCGAAACCGATTCTGCCTCTAATAAGAGTTACATTTTATTAATTAAAAATTTCTTATAAAGATACATATTCACAAATTGCCCAAAACAAAAAAGAAAAAGAAAAAGAAAAAAAATAATTGTTTTCCTGTGCATCGCACAAGGCACTTTCTATTTACATCTATCGAGCAATAATGGCTTAAATATAATCAAAGTATGAGAGAAGAAGCAATGATGATGATGATATATTTGACCAAGTGTATTATGTGGAAGGTGTGAAAGTGGAAGGAAATCTTCAAAACAAATTTTAGGTAAATTCCTTTAACCGTATTTGGGAATGAAGAAAAAAAAGCTTTAAAAGCTTAATTACTAACTTCAAATTACATAACTATATTAAGGAATTAAACAAATATGACTTTTTTTCAAATGAAGGTTTTAAAAATATACACTCCCTCAAGTCCTATTTATAAAATATTTTTTAAAAATAATTTTTGTTTTAAAATATAAAACCTTTTAATATTTAAATCATTTTTTCAATTACACCTTTTCTTGATTAACGTGAATATATTTAATATAATTTTATTATTATTACAAGTTAGATAAAATTAAAAATACATCTCATTTTTTTAATATAAAAAAGCTAATTTTTTTAAAATGTGCAAAATAATTAAAAATATCTTATAATAAAAATTAAAGAGGTTTTTTTTTTTCTGGGTGAATTCAAGAAGCTATGGTAACAATATGTTTAAAGTAATTCGTATAACTAGTTACTCAATAATTTTAAACCATACTGCTTCACTTATAATTTATTTTTTCCCACCATAGCTTAACACTACTGGTTGATGAATGTAATTTTTCACAAGTGTGTTTTTAATATACTAAGATTGTTTCTTTTTTTTTTGTCAGATATACTAAGATTGTTATTCAACACATTTTTATGGAATCATGACATCAAAAATTTGCAAAAAGCCAGGGATTCTTTGATTCTTGACCACGCATCGATAATATACATCAAGGTCAGTTAGCGTCCACCGGCTATAAAATACACGTAGCTAAATTGTTATGGTGGGTGCAGTTGGTCAAAAAACAAACACTAATCGGCTGAGTTATGAATAACCTTAGAGCAGATTTGTATAAAACCAAAATGGTTCATACACCCAAAAAATTAATGGACTCATTTGAGAGAGCCCCAAGACTTGGAACGTACTCCGAAATTAGAACTTTCAAGATATTATAGTTGCCAATCAATGGGGGGAATCCCCATTTGTTCCAGAAGTTGGTTAGTTTTGGAGAAGTGCCTGCCAGATAAAACCAAAATCAGTAGCCAACTCACACGCAATGCAGAATGGATATTAAAGTGCTTGATATCCCATTTTTAAATTAAAACATAAAATTATAAGAAGTAATCACCATCAACATGAAGCATAAAATTTGTGGCAAACTGCAATATTTACAACTCATGTATTAAACTACCTATTAATAAACCGGTTATGCAAGACTTTTTTTTTTTTTTATAAATGTTATGCAAGACTTATCGCCCAATAAAGGAAAAAAAAAAAAAGAATACACTCCTAAAACCATGATAGCGAGTTTCTTGATTTCTTCGTTGGCAGAGGAAAAGGAGTTCAACTTCAGCTTATCACTTCAATCTACTCCATGTAATGATATAAATATACTCTCTCCGCCTCTAATTATAAAATAATTTAAGACTAGACATGCTATAAAGCTTAATAATGATACTTTACAATTCATTTTTTAAAACAAAATTATAAATTTTTAAAAATACCCCTACATAATTAATCATTACACTATAATACCATTTCAATTCTTTCTCTACTTAAAGAATAATATTAAAAAAGATATTATTAATGAAACTTTATTTTTTAAAATTATCTTATATTTTAGGATAATAAAATATACTTAAAATTGTCTTATAATTTAAAATATATTTTGAGACAGAGAGAGTATCTTATTATTTGTCATTATAACCGCATAAAATCACATGGTGACCATTAAAGTATTTAGACCAATAAAGGGAGCCTGGGGCGGAATGGACAGTCTGAGAGATATTAACACTAATTGATTATCCAGGGCAGAGGTTGAGGAGTTGTAAAAAGTAAAAACATGATGGCAAGCACCTACAATTTATCCAAATCAGTCTGTCCCCGTATGCATATATTCTCTTTAATTTTTATTATAAAACACTTTCAATCATTTTACATGTTAAAAAAAAAGTTAAACTTTTTTATATCATAAAAAGTGAGAAATACTTTTATTTTTAATCTTGACTTTAAATAATAATACAATTACAGTTAAAACATTCACGCTAGCCAAGGAGTAAAACTGAAAAAAATAATTTAATTATTACAAAATATCTTATATTTTGAACCAAAAATTATTTTTGAAAAGTATCTTTTAAATAGGATTAGAGGGAGTATTATATTTTTGCCATTATAATCACCTAATATCACGTGGTAATCAAGGGAAACAATTTAATACAAAAATAGAGCAGATCATAATCGGCACGGATAAAGAGAGAAAAGGAAGCTTCGACAGAAGGAACAAAGATGAGAAGAAAGCATTTTGGAGGAGAGAAATAAAGAAAGCAAGAATGCCTACGAAGATATTTAGGGCTGGCTGTGGGGTGAATGAAAGCCTAGTCTAGCCTGACAATCCTTTGAATGTCATATCATCATCCTACCTATTTTTTAATTTTTTTTCTTTTCTTATTGTTGCCAAATAAATGTGAATCAGTCACAGTAATCACCGTTTTTTTTTTTGGGCCAAACAGCTGTAAATGCGTCGCAGTCATTCTTATTTTTGTTAATCATTACCATTACCAATGCCGATGACTCTACTAATACCAATATTCAGGTTGCTATTAACATATGTATGACAGGCAACCTAATGGGTAACCTGATCAGAAACAAAGAGTCAATTATAAAATAACCATACTAACGAGAACTTTCTTAACCATCTGACCTGCAGCCAAAGAAGCCTCTATTTGCAGACAAACCAGAAGGATGTGCAGCTTTGAGAATGTGATGCTTTGTTGTATCAATCAGCCTGCGTATATGAAATTCAATTATTGCACGGAGATAGTTATTAAGGAAATCAGAGATATCACAATTGATAAATGATGAATGTATATTTGAGAAAGGATTCCACATTAGATCTTGAATTTGAACTACTGGATTGAACACCTACCAAGTGTTTGATAGGGTGCAGTCATGCTTAGCTTAGATGAATTGTATCTGACAGGAGCCTTGGGATTGAGTAAACTTGAGTTCAACTAACCTTGACGCATTCTGGAAACTAGAGTTAGCAAACTAAGGGAAGTTAAGACAAGGATAGCTTAACACGTCTCATACAAGTGTTAATAGCTAAGGAATTCGACTACTCTTGGTGTTTGGAAGATTTAAATTGAACTCGGTTGATATTTGTAAAATACATGCGTGCCAATTAATGTTAATGACTTTATTTGGGTCCATTGACAAATTGTTAGGTTTATATGATTAGTTCTCTCCAATCAATTCATTACTCATAGTAACAAGGGTTTATAAGAAAAACCTCATCAACCTGAACATTTGGAAATTTTCAGATATTTTAAGCAAACATTAGATATAGATGTTGATTAAAAAAAAATTTGATGTATGTGGCACAAAAATCTAAGTTCCAAGGCAACATATGGGCCATTGAACCATAGCCTCAAGCCATACTGGTCATTTCCTCACTGTCCAATCTTTTGTCATCTCTCTTGACTCCTTTCTTGTCTGCTCATGATGGCTGGGAGTGGTAACAATTTAAGACATGAGGGAGCTTGGCCAGAATCTAACAAGGGATTTGGAAAGGTAAGAGTACTGGATGTAAATTGGTGTATACTTTAGTTGAGCCGGATAATTTTATTGCTTCCCATAATCCTCCCCGGGCCTAAGAACTAATGTATATGGAGTTCCTACAGGGCTTTGTTGTTTGACAGGAGAATGGCAAATTTGTAACTTCAAGAAGTCACAATATTGACTGCAGCAGAACCCATGTGCTTATTTTGAACACTTCAATCAAGTTCTTCTATAGTTTGTGATAAGATCTGAGTTTAATAAGAGAAACAAGAGGAATTCTACTGAAAAGAATAATGCCAGGATCTGAAACACTAAACAATTCAATAGAAAAATGGGAAAAATCTTTACCAGCAAAACTGAGCAAGAACCTCAACTCAAATCACTAATAAAGGCAAAGGATAATCTCCAGTGATCAAATAATTCTGATTAATGCCCTTAACACGCTGTAATTCTGAGTATAAATAGGCAGAAAATTATACATGATTCCTAAAATAACTGATCCACTAAGCCATGACACATATAACGGAAGATAACAACCAAAACAACATTAAATAGAAAGCAGCTAAAGTAATATTCTGGACAAAGTCAAACTGCATAACTAACACCCACTACTCCTATTTCCACTATTGTACTAGAGACGTGGTGCTCTATCAGTTTGGATGTAGTGGAATAAATGGAATAAATTTTATCTGGTCATTTACTAATGCTCAGTAACAAACGTGCCCTTTTGATGGCCTACATGGATAATGTTCTGATAACAAGTAGAGATGAGGTAGCTATTACTGATCTCAAGTCTTCACTCCAAAATTAGTTCCAAACAAAGGATCTTAGTTCTGTTAAGAGGAGATTAACGTTTGTAGAAGCAAGATGAGTATCCTGCTCTCGCAAAGGAAGCATGTCTTATCCTTTCCCTAAAGACAGCAGTATGTTAGGAGCCAAGCCTTGTGAAAGTCCAATAACCCCAAATGGAAAACTTACAACAGGTGATTGGGATGCATTTTAAGGCGAGAGATATAGAAAATTGGTTGCTAAACAATAAGCTTATGGCAACTTCCTTGACATAGGCTGTGAAAACTATTGATGATTTTGACTTACTATTGGTACATGCTACTTCATCTCACGAACCTAAGGATCTTCCACCTGATTCTACTTTCACCAGTTGACCTTCTCATCTCTCAATTTACATATCATCCCACATTTAACTCCACAGATATGTGAACAAACGCATGTGCACAAGAGAAAGAAGAAAATGGAAGAAAAATCCCTAATTTCTGATATGTGGCTCATTTTAGGAACGCAAGTCTATTTAATCCTAATTTGGCTTCTTTATATTTGTTAATGCTATTAAATGGAATTACCTAGATTTCTCCTGAGCAGAGTTCCCCCACAAGAGAAACACAACTCCTTCCTTCTTTTGTGAGATTGTTTTAATAACAGCATCGGTAAACTGCTCCCAACCCTTTTTTGCATGAGAATTAGCTTGATGCTTCCTGACTGGATTGAAAACACATAAATTACTACGTACAAATGTTCAATACAGAGACAGAAGAATGATAGTATAAGCTGATGTGAACGAACAAGTATTGAAATGATAGGACTATTTTAAGAGAAAATTAATGTATATTATAGACTCTTGGTGGGTTTGTATGCTATCTAAAATATCTGCACAATCAAACACACATCCATACATATATATTTAATATGGCCAACTTATTATCTGAGAGAAGCTTGAGAACTTGGAGGCAAACATGGAAACTTTGAAAGGGAATCTCTGGCTTGAATTAGGGATACAACCATCTAATGTGAAAGCATGGAAAATTGTTTGTAAGCCAAGACCCATTTGCTCATGAGCATTCCAAGGGTAACATTTTCACTGGTAACATTGCTCAATTAGGTAAATCATTTGTCTTGAGCACTCATATATCCTCACAAGCCCAGTAACATTCATTGTGAAAAGTCTGCCACCGTTGGTTTTTACAATAAAATTTGTTTTTTTTTTCTTTTTGAATGAAAGGGCTATGGAGTTGACCATAAAAAAGCAGAGAGAATTAGGGTCTATGTTTATCAATATCCACCTAACCTACATCCTAGGGGGGCTTAGTGAAATACAAAATATTAACATCATGATATTGAGCAAAACTCGCTCACCAATTATGACATTCATCATCTTCCCTATAAACATGATCCAAAATAACATTCCAATTTTGAGTAACATATGCTTAATATTGTTAATTAGACCCTTGAGTGAATGGCTCATGGCATTCTCTCTAGTGTTACAGCAAAACCATGAGACATTAATATTGCACAAACACTACAAGATTGTGCCACAACTGTCAACCTGATTCCTATCATCCTATCTGAGAGAAGACAAAGTTGAATTATCAATGGTGATTTATGAAAAATGGGAAAACAGCAATCTACCAACTTGACAAACAGAGGAGCAAGGCTGAGAATGTGAGGGCAAGGATGGGCAAGGGAGAGGCTTCATCTACTGGCCAAGGAATACAGACACCACTTACAGACACCACTACTCAACAATGGAGCCTACTCGAGCAACTATGGATGAAAAATGGCTCATGAACTCTCAACTACCAGTTCCTGGGACAAGAAGAGGCAGACAAATGTCAAATTTAGGGTATTGGTCCATGTTCACCTCATGGAAATGATGAGAAGGCTTTTGGCAATGTCCATGGTACTAGAATAGGTGTAAAGAAGACTTGGCTTCCCTTTTCCGTGAAGCCAATGCATTTTTGCAAAGGAGGAACAACAGAAATGCGTGTTTTGTGCTTCATCCTAGTGAGACTTGGCTATTTGAAAAGGTCAGGTTGCGTGGGGCCTTGATACCAATAGAGAATTTCACAGTACGAGATTTTTGAATGCTTATTTCAAAGGTGATAGGTGAATTCATAAATAAAAGTAGACGGCAAAAAATCTCCATTCAATCCCACAAAAGTCAGCTATTATAATTTGAAATAATATCACAAAGGTGAGATCTTAGGAGCTAAATAATGAATTAAAATCATTGACAAATCTAACTAAGGTGATAATCAAATCATACTCTTAACTAATGCTGTAACAAATAAAACCCAATAATAACATGGTATTGTAGAGAAAAATAATAATGAATGAGTGCCACACTAGTAAGAAGACAATACACATGTACTGGCAATTCAATAATTTTCAGAGCTCTTACCTGTAAGAACGGCATTAAGCAAGAGAACACCCTGCAATGAAGCATACAATTGCTGTCAGAGAATGTTATCTAGAAACTGTATGAAAGCATTTGTAGCTTATACTAAAAGGATGGCAACAGCACAAAACCCAAAGAGAAACTTCTCTAAGAACCATGCTCATTTTCAGCTCATAAATCAAGATTCAGGTGCTTGTGTCTAGAGCAAAAGCTCAAGCTGTTGGGTGAAATTCAGTTTGCACTACTTCCAGGTATCAAGGACAACATATCAAAATCTGAAACAATTAGCTGCACATGAATATTTGTATTGCAATCTTTGACATTAAGTATCACTTATCAGCCCTAGCAATTGTCAAATACTTTCTTTCCTCACATCATAGTTCTTCTAAAGCAACATTTAAGGGCCCTTTTTTCAAGAAAAACAAACAAACAGAGAAAAGAAATATATTTTGGGGGTCTAAACTCTTGAGAAGTACCTTGAGTATATCAGATTAAAATAAAATCATAAAGATCTTTTAAAACAGAGACATGTAGACAATTTAAAAAGGCAATTCATTATTTACTCTAATTTTCAAACTATTAGCTGTCAACATTAGCTATCCATATTGTGGAGAACATATCTTGATCACCTATTATTACAGTTGGTGGTATAGAATGGTAAGATATTTGATAACATATTTATCTCTTTGTTTATATTCTTCAGCTTCATTAAAAAGTTTTGGTTATCAAAATTTGTCTTTTTAGTTGCGGAAGTTAGTAATTCTTTCAGGAAATTACATACAAATCGGAAATGTTTGAGAACCATTTGCAGTTTCATTAACTAGTAGTGACTAAAATGTAACTTTACAGTACAATTTGCAGTTATAATGGAATAGTTAGTAAGAGCAGTATAAGGAGCTATTAAGAGTTTTGGGCTGGTGTGGCACATGAAAGGGTTATTAGGATTTTGTAGAGTAAGTTTGCTTGGAAAACAGGAATAAAATAGAAGATTTGTTTTAATTTTCTATCAGCATCTTAATCGGTTTTAATTTATTACTAGTATCTTTATCTTATTTTTTATTTAAATTGCATTTTTTCTCATCTTTATCTCCTGTAAATGTGGTTGTTATTATCAAGTTTTAAAACTGATTTCTATCCCTAAATTAAGAGATTATAGTGACTGATTTGTAGCCTCAGTTCACTATTCACTGTAAGCATCTCTTCTCTTTTAAGAATAAGAATCAGAACATCATTTAACTCTAAAAATTCTTCACAAACAAGTGCCCTTCCAGCTGCTCCAATTTTCAATATAGAACTATCCAACAAAGCCAATGATATAAAGTCACGACTTTTCTGAGGTTGCATGAATTAAGATGTGTTCGCCATGCAACCATGAACACATGCCTGAAGCAAAAACAATGCATCACATATATAAAAGGGAAACATAATTGAATACATACCTGCGCAGTCCATTTTTCCAGATTTCCATGAGTTGGAACTGAACAGCCAAGGTCTTGCTTGAGTTCCTTAAAAATATTTACCAGACTTGAAGGGACCTTTACTCCTACAGGCACAGAGAATGAAAGGCCCATGGCTTGTCCAGGTCCATGATAAGGATCCTGAAAAGCAAATAGCTTGAATTTTTTTAATACATGTCAGATTATATTTGGATGGCATGTGTTTTCACGTGGCTGATCCTTGAATATTAAGATTATACGTGCATGGCATGTGCCTAAGAATGTGATTACAAATGAAACAATATTATTCAATCTTCAACACACCTATTTGGAACCCAGTATTACAATGTCAAATTTGAGAGCTGACAGGATCAAATGGGGGTAGCTCTCCTAACGTGATTTCACAAGATTCAAACCCAAGAACTTAACTAATGGGTATTGAGTCCCTTGCACTTGACCAGTATTTATCATTCGAGTACCCAGAATACTTCTACATGATGAGAAAACTAAGCCAAACTACTTAGCTATCAATGATTTTTTAATACACGTCAGATTAGGGTTCACCTATTTACCTGGATTACAGTTACATAAGTAACAACCTGGTATTTCTGGTTCAACTAGAATCAGGATTACCTGGATTTGCCTATTTACGTCGGTTCTTTTGTTCCCAGGATTTCTTTGGAACACATGGTTCAGATAATCTAATATTGATGTTAACTTAGTAAGTAGTAACTAGTAATTGGTTCCATTTTCTCTTATTCTGTTTAAAATATTTATCTACATGCTATCAAGGCTGAACGCTAGATTGTTCAAATCTTATAGATAATCACCTTCCTTTGCTGGACTCCGATCATCAAATTTCTAAATTTCTTAGCAAAGGAAACTAAATAGTAAGCCTGATCGCTGTCAGACAGGGGAACAACTACTCAGAATAATTGAAACAAAAACCAAATATATGAAAATCTATAAAGGATTCAGCAAACTAAAGCAAAATTTTGGGTATAAAATTCGCCCACCTGCCCAAGGATCACTGCCTTCACTTTATCAAAAGGGGTAGAGTTCAGAGCGTTGAAAATCATATGGCAAGGTGGATATATAGCCTCGGCGCCACCACATATCTCTCTTCCCACAAATTGGCAGAGATTCTTGGCATAAGGTTTTCTGAAATTCTCCTGGAAGAGCTTCCAACCAGGTCTCCTCCACCAGCAAATCCTCCAGGTTAACATGACCTGCAAACAGACGGTGATGCATTATACCAAAAATTGAAATCCAATGCATCGCATTATCTAAGATATTTTTCAACACCAAAAATAAACACTCAAGTTTTGCATTACCTTGAAAATTAGAGACCTTTTCAGCACAGATTTTCAGATTCCTCTTGGACTTCGCCAGCAATTTGTTACATTCAATGCGTGATTTTTGCTTGCCACTAAGAGTAGAGGGCTGAGGGGAGACATTCGTGTCAGCATCAGAGTCGTGGTACGACTGAGAGCTTACCGATTTCAAGATTGGGGTGACAGTGGGTTTCAATCGCTTAGAAACTGGCTGGTACAGATCCATTAGGGTTTTGGGGGATAGGGAAGCCATTTCCTCTATTCTTGACTTGATCTCATGAGATGGCGGGTACCCATTCTTATGGCGGGAAAGCCAACCCTCTGCCACTTAAATTCATTCTATGTATTTTTATGAAGCCAAATTATAGACTAACACACTCACTAATAGCAGCAGCTTGTTATGGCTTTGGAACTTTTCCTTTTTTAAATTGTGCCGGTCTTAGCTTGATTAACTTTTTAATTATGACTAGTCAGTCGAACCCACAAAGTAGGCAAGAGATTAAGAGAGCTAAGTGCGCAAGTGGAGAGCAGAGAATTTGAGTGAATGAATTTTGAGAGCTTTACTACTTTGCCTCCCCCTTTCTCTAACAAATTTCTACCTCTTTAATGAACGATTGGGAATGATTTGATCTAACGGTATACATTCTTTCTATAGAAATATCTATAAGGAATATCTTGATATTTACAAAGAAAATTCTAGAATGTACAAGAGTAGGATATTCCTAGAATGATCTAGATATTTTAGGTGCTTTTTACACTATTCTAGAGATATCTAGGTCTTTCGAGGTCATACCGGCATATCCCAAAAGACTCCGGTGCCTTTTTGATTATCTTAGATCGTTCCGAAAGCTTCTAGAATATTTTAACCTCGTGAAAATTCTAACTTTGTCACAAACTGGTCTAGTTTGCATAAAAATTTTATATATCTATTCAAATATTATGGGAAAAATATGCTCAACTAATTTTTGCAATTAGTTAAAACAAAATTAATAGTTTGATGTAATTTGGGATTGATTTATCATTATTTAATTCATTTAAACTCATTTTGTTATTTTTTTCTTAATATGATACATTAAAAATGGTACAAAATAATATGGGTCCTGTAGTAAAAAAAGTGCGTTTAGAACATGAAAAAATAAATTACTAATATAAAACTTATAATTAAAAATGAGTAAATATTTTATTTATTTTTATCTTAATTAATGATACATTTCTTCTGCTTTTTAAAATTTATATGAATATTTTTTAGTATAAATAGTTATAAAACAGAAACTTTTCTTCTATTTTTAAGATTTTATTTTCATTCATTTAATCATTAGTTAATTATTAAGTCTGTATATTGAACCAAATACCTCTATTTAAATATAAATATTTCCTAAAAAATTTAAATTATTAAAAATAATTTTTACTATTTAAATGTATTTTTTGTAATTTTTTAAAAAATTAAATCATAAATTAGCCAAAAAAATGCAAAGGTCGGGGCTTACATTTATAAATGTGAGAGGAACCTGTAATTTAATTAATAAAATTTATTTTCATGAGATGAAAACTATTTGCCATACAAATTTTCATTTGTAAATGTTAAAATTTTAGATAAAATGTAAAAAGAATAAGATTTTTATATTTTAAAAAATCATATAAGATATACAGTAAAAATTTGAGGTGGATATAAGATTTTTACTAATAAAGAAAAAAAATAAAATAATTCTTAATAATTTGGGATATTTAAATTATATAGTCTAAATAGACCCAAAAGCTAGAAATGCCAGGAGTTAAGTTCAACTATAAATTTTTTATCTATTTAAATATTTTAAATTCAATATGAATTGAAGCTCTAAGAGAAATGGAGAGGATATAAGATTTTAACAAACTTAATTTTTAAACAATTGGGGTAGTGTGATTTAAAAAAAATACGTGGAACCTACCATAAAAAAATGTGAATGGAGGTCTACATTTATAAATGTGAGTGGGACCTATAATTTAATTAATAAAATTTATTTTCATGAGATGAAAATTATTTGCCATACAAATTTTCATTTATAAATGTTAAAATTTTAGATAAGACATAAAAAAGAATAATATTTTTATATTTTAAAAGATCATATGAGATGTATAGTAAAAATTTAAGGTGGATATAATATTCTTATTGAAAATAATAAGTATTAGACATATAATAAAATTTGTATGGGATAACACGATTTAGATAAAAGAATTTTTTATTTATTTACTATCAACACATGGTAACAAATCAAAATATTTTGCAAGACTATATATAAGATAAGTTTTTGTTTATATTCTTCAAATGCATAAGGTATAAAAATATATTATTCTTTATTTATATGTAAAAATTGATTATGGTTTGAACACCTATAAAAAATATTGATGTAGTTATATGTCTCAAATCTAAGCAAAAAACATTATGTGTTACAAGTTAATTATATAATATTAATGAATTTATCTTCTATTGCACACATAATCTTTTCCTAATAATCATTATGTTACTTGTAATGCTTGTACATATGGTTAGTAAATGGTATTAAAACCAGTGGCAGAGCCACATGTAATTGAGGGGGGCACTCACTTGGAAAAAATGACATGTTTGGAAGTATAAATTTTTATATTTTGCAATTTGTACCTTTACTAATGATACTTTGCACCCCCTTTATTTTATATTTTAAACTTTAAACCATCTCAATCTTACTTTTTTAGTATGGATCTATTCAAATTTTTAACTTAACCTTGTGAATATTAGCCCACAATTTAACTATACCTAAATACCAATATTATTTATTAATTATTTAAAAAATAAAAAAAATCTAATATAACTAAACAGACTCGCTTCTCATCTTGAATACTACTCAGGGACTAGTTAAAAAAAAAATGATAAATAATGAAGATTCAAAACTCAAGAGTAAATTGGGTGAATGTTTTTTGCTAGCTTATTGTAGTTATAAATCTACAATTAAACACTAGATAGGGAATAAAGAAAAAGAAAAAGAAAAGATAAATAGTTAATTTGAAAGAAACAGAAATGTTTTCTTTTACCAAAGATCCTAGCTCCATCATTGCCCCTCCTAATCCAAAATCCTGACTCCATCATTGAATTTAAAACATAGATTATATCATTTGCTTGATTTACAAACATTATAATTATAATTTATAAACAGTAATATCAAGTAATTATAGTACGATTCATTATGGTATATGTTTTATTTTTCTTGAGGTGATACATTAGGCAACACATTTGAAAAAGAACAAGTTAGATTATATTTCAAATTGTAGGAGGCAAGAAATGTTAAAAAAAATAACAACTATATTTTTTTAGTATATATAAAAGTAACTCATTGAAAAATAAAACTTATTACTTATAGGTATGATCCTATTAAAATTGTAATCTCATACTTGCTAGCTATAAGGATACTTTAGAAAAAGAAGAAGAAGTTGATCATTAAATTTTAACTTATACAGGATAATACATTCTAAAATAAAATAATTTATGTTTTATATTTTTAATATATACCAGCAAAACAAATTTTAAAATAAAATATTCTTTACATTTTAATTTTCACAAATTAATATGTTATAAAGTAAAATACACTTGCATCCCTTTTGCTTTGTTATAATTATAAAGACTTCTTTTTTATTTAAAAAATTGATGCTTTAGCCTCATTTTCAATATGGTTAGGAATATTATGTTAAATATTTTAAATTATTTTATTTATTATTTGTATTTATGTTGACAAAATTTTAATTATTAATTTACCTTTATAATCTATTTGTCTATCTTTTACTTCCTAATTTAAGGAACTTCAAACAATTTTTGACAGAAAAAAAGTTTTAACAATTAATTATGACAATAATTTAAAATTATTTTATCAAAATTCTAAAATATATTGATTAATTTATTTCTTATTTCATTAAGTGTTTTTTCTACACTTACATGTTTGAAATATTATTTTAATAAACTTACTTTCTTAGTTCAAAATATAAGGTATTTTTAAGGTTATTTCTTAAAGGTTAGATATTAAAAAATATAAAGCATTTTTAGTACAAACATTTTTGCAAAAGTGCCCCTAATAAATAATTATTTATATTTATTTTAAAGTGAAATACTTAATTAAATAGTAAATATGAAAATATGATGTTATTTTAAAAATTAATAACTACTTTATTGGGTGAGGTTTGGTTAAAAATATTTTGTATTTTTGAAAGATGGAGTATGTATTTAATTTTTTTTAAAAAAATAAATAAATTAGTTTGTATGACTAAGAAATTTAAAATAAAAATAAAAATTTAAAAGAATGTGTTAATAATGGTATTTTAGTCCAACACATGTGACCTAATTATTAACTAATGATTGAATGGATGAAAATAAAAACTTAAATATAGAATGCATATTTGTATTTTATAACTCTTAACTATTGATTTTAAAATGAACTCCTATATATTTTAAAAATAAAAAATATCTATAATTAAGATAAAAATAAAGGAAAAAGTAATATATTTGACTTTAAAGATATTAAAATAATTTTTTAATATAATTAATTAGGATTTAAATTCTAAACTATTTGAACTCTAAATTTTTAAAATGTACATTTTAAATTTTAAATAATTAAAGTTAGAACAATTTTACCTCATCGTTAAATTTGAACAAACATTTGTTAGTTTTCAAAATTGAAATCTAATGTATACTCCCTTCGTTAAAAAATGTAAAATATTTTTAATTAAATTTTACCCCCAATAAAGTAATTACCTACTTTTAAACTAACCATATCTTTTCATATTTATCTCTATTAAATACCATATAATAAATATAAAGTCACTATTAATAGAAACACTTTTGAAAAAAAAAGGCAATGATTATATTTCGAAAGACTAAAACTGCCTTACATTTTTTAACATCCAACTCCTCAAAAAATGTTTTACATTTTTTAATAGAGAGAAGAGTTTTTTTTTATCAATTTTATTATCTTTCCCAATAAAATTCTAGTTCGCATAAAAAATTTATATATCTATTCAAATATTACAGGAAAAATATACTCAACTGATTTTTGCAATTAGTTGAAACCAAATTAATAGTTTGATGTAATTTGGGATTGATTTATCATTATTTAATTCATTTAAACTCATTTTGTATACAAGCGTGAAATGCGTGGAACTATTTCGTCATGCTTATAACAACTTGCCAATTTATAGTCTACATTAGCTCATGGAAATGAATACTATTTTCTAATTTTTAAAAATTTTATTCAATTATTAAAAATGTTAACAATTATTTTCTTATTTTATAACTCGTTTTATAATTCAATTAG